TGAAATTGGAGATGGAAGGTGGGGATTCCGAGCAGCACACATCAGCACCCACTCTACTCCGCTCTTGAGCTGCCCAGATCCATTTACATTTGCATTTTGTGGTAAGTGTGTCCCATCTGGGAAGAGCATCCTCAGGATTCTGGTTGGTTTCAATGCCTAAGGAATCATACAGGGGAAGTTAGTGGAGAAACTTGGCAGTCCTTGCTGCTGCAACTAGTTTTAAAAGCACAACCAGTTTTCACTGTCTCCTTTCTTTACTACCCATTCTAAAGTCTCCTCAACCTTTGCTAGTACCCCCTCGTGGTCTTAAGTAACTTAACTGGTGGAAGCTATGAAGGCCTAAGTTTCTAACCACAATGTGTCCTTCTGAGGTTGTGTCTACTGCACTTATTCATTAAGCACCCTAATTTGGCAGCACAGTATTAAGAGATACCCCAATTGCTCACTGAATGTGAAACATATTCTTCTTCTTTTCCATTAGATAACAGTAGTTGTATTTACTCCTGATCAATGTGAATTACCCTTGCAAGGTTGGTGTGTCCTTACCTTGCCTACTGGTCTCTTGGCACGAGGAACCTTAAGTGTCCCAGTGGCAGCCTAGTTTAAAGTAAAATGGGACTACTACTGTGTTCCCTGGTGGAAGCAGTCACCCTCTAGGAATAAGGACTTCTACCACAGAAGCTAAAGTTGCAAACACAGGAAAAACAAATTCCAGAAGTGGGTCATTGTGAGCGATAGTAAGATAAAGGGACATAAAATAGAAAAGAGTAATTAAGAAATGTGGTGGATAAAATGGAAAGCTCCAATATTTATATCATATGAATAAATATAATGTGAGCTCTTCAAAGAAAAAGGTGTAGAATGTGAAACAAGCAAAGTAAAAGTATGACCGGTTGAAAGCAGAAAATAACATGGTGGAAATAAAATAAAATGTCTATAATCACAATAAATATAAATGGATTGAACTCAACCACTAAAAGGCAGAGATGCTCAGATTGAAATTAAAATTCAATTGTATAAAAGAGACAGCTAAATATAATGGCATAGAAAGACAAAAAGGTAAGGGATGAGAAAAGATTTAGGAAACAAATTCTTATTTTAAAAAGCCATTGTGGCTATATTTTATCAAACAAATTAATCTTTAAGGCAAAACAAATTTTTATGGATAGTGTCATTATTTTAAAAATTACCAGGAATGTAGGTGGTTCTGAGTCTATATACATGCAGTTAACAGCACAGATTCCAAATATGTAAAGGAATTCAGGAGTTGGTGGCAGTCTGTTAAAGTGCTACAACTCCTGGGAGTTTTGCATTTTCACAGGGCTTAGTACCTCAAGAAGAAAAAAATCATATTTAAGAGAGTGGTTTTTGGACCAATTTAACCCTAACTATTCAGAAGCAAGGTTAATTTATAAATGATCTGAAAAGTGATTAAAGAGGTCCTTTTAATCTCCTTATGTTTGTTTACCAAGTACAGCTGTGTTTATGAAGTTGAATTTTTGCTTACTAATTCTAGGCAGTGAATTGAGTAAATGAATCGTGGGGTTGAGCTGAACTTTCATAAAGAAATCTAAAACCTGACCCAATTGTCAAAGATGCATGCATCAGGGTAGATTTTTCCAGATGAGTTTGTTATGAAACTGAATTTTTGAGAACTTTGGACTGGCTGACAGCTTTATAACAGAGTCAAATTCTGGAAATAGAGAGGAATTTATCTATCTATCTATCTATCTATCTATCTATCTATCATCTAATTTATATATATAATTATATATGTTTATATATACTGTTATATATATATTTATATATATTTATATGTATTGTTCTGTCTTTTTGTTTTATTTGGTTGGCTGGGAAATTTTTCCTTTCTTTAATTAAAATAAATCTCAGTGGTACGGCTTATACAATCATAGTCTCAATCAAAAAGGTCCTCCCCATGGACTAAAATTCTAAGAGAACCACATACCTCTCATTTACAATATCTATTTACAAAGTCAGACAATCTCTTCTCTCTACATGTAGGTTCTTCCCCTTCTTTATGTCTCCATGGTTTTCTCACCCATTCTTGCTTGTCCTTTCTCAAATGAAAGGGAAAAGGAATAAAGGAATCAGGGCTTAAATCAGGCAGGATTTTTTTAACTGGTAATATTGTGACAGGATGAGGGGGTGGAGAGAGGGAGGAGAGGGAGAGGAGAGAGATGTGGGTATAGCAGCTTTTTGCAGGGGATGTACATCTTGGGAAGGGAGGTGATAGCTATATTCTCGATGGCCTCACCAAAGGGGAGATTTGGCTGCTAAATTTGACCTTGCTCCCAAGTAATTGATGAGACGTAACATTATCATCAGGATAATGGTAATGAGCTATAGATACAGATTCTCTGCCTGTGGAGATTGCAGACAAAATAGACTTTAAGGCAAAACACATTATTCAGGCTAAGAAGACTCATTTCATAACTTCCTGTTAGGAAAACTTTGGTGGGGTTATTTGATTGCTGTGAGCTCGGTTCTTCCACATCTGGAGAGCAGGAAAATTCAATGGGAAAAAAAATCTTCTGAACTAGACTTGGTCGCCATGTCTGAGCCTCCAGTCTCCTTGTTCCTGTCATCCTAAGAGGGAAATCTCACTAATGCCTCAAGATCAGGTTCAACATCAAGTTCATTATTAGCCTCTGTCTTAGTTAGACATTGATACTTCTTCTCTGACACTTGAAAAGGCCAAATATTTTCCTAGTTGTGGTTTTAGAATAAATTAACTTCTTCATTTCTGCTTTCTTTGTATTCTTTCTTAAGAATTTTCCTTTGAAGAAGGTTTTTGTGTTTCTATCTGCAGTAATCTGACTGGCTATATTACAGTTAAGGCATCTCATTTCTGATCTGTAGTTTACCTTGTTAAATGGGATTTCAGTCATGCATCTTGAAAAGCTCTGCCTCTGGAATTTTGGTTTACCCTTGTAAATGTTCTCACTGACTTTGGAAGCAATTCCTGTGTTGTTGGATTTTTTTTTTTTCCTCTGTGTGGCAGCAGCCTTTCTACTGGTGTCTACCTTTTATTGATTTATGGTAATAGATGACCAGCCCCTTCTCTTCTGTCACTTTACAGGTTGACCTCCTTAGGTGAGGTTTTTCTAAAACTGGCACACAAGGTATAAGAACAGATAACCTTGTAAATTCAAAGGCTGGTTCCACTGAGTTAAAAATCCTGTAATTCCAAGATGCAGGAACTTGATGCTAATGAAAATTTAAACATGGAGTTTGTTTGGTTCTGGGTGCCTCACGCTGAAGTATTGTTGCCATAAATCTAGGTTTGTAAACCTGGGTTTGTGATATCTCTCTTTTAGACCAGTGGGCTTTAGATTCTGGTGTGCATCAGAATGATGCAGCATGCTGATTAAAAATACAGACTTCCAAGCCCTACCCCTAGATATTAATTCAATAGATCTGGGGGCAGGGCCCTGGGATCTACATTTTAATAAGCTGCATGGGTGCTTCAATGCAGATCATACTTCAGTCTTCATGAAACAAGATGAGAAAGAGAAAAGTATTTCCTGACTCCCATACAGATGTTGCTAGAAGCTGTCCTGGCACGGATCGCTAGGCCCTAGTGTTCTCCTGATGAACAAAAACAATTTCACAGTAAATCAGCATGAGGCAAGGCCACTCTGTGACCAAGATGGATAAGACAAAAACCAGATCATTCTGCAATCACATCTGAACACAGACAAAACCAAGAACAATGTTCAAACCACAAAATACCAAGGAGGCCCCACCCCCACTACTCCCAGCTAATATGAGCGACTGATGCTACTTAACAGTTATAGGTTTATCCTCGGTATATTCTGGCCTCCTTATAGATAAAATTTACTGAGATACACAGTCATAGAATTACCCCTGCTTTGTCACAGTCTCCAAGCCAGAGCAAAGCCCTGCTTCCTTAAACCCTCCCCAAAATCACCCAATACAATCATACATCCTGTCAGTCCCTTCTAACGTCTCCTTGCTGAGATGCCACCATAGGCCCCATACTGTGCCTTCTCCTTCACTGCAACAAGTACTAAAACCAACTTGCTCTACTACAGGTGTGTTCCTGATGGTCCTTGGCTGGAGGCTGTTGACAAGGGCTACTAGCTAGACCAATGCTTTCCCTTCTTTCTGTGTGCCCATGGTGTGCTGACTACTTTTGGCTACCTAACCACTCAAGGACCTAACATTGCTGGGCATTTGTGCTCTCTGCTATGGAAATGTATGGGTGTGTACTGTGTCAGTCATGACCCACACAGTATGTACAGTATGGTACACATGAAGCGGGTCATTGAGGAGAGTTCAGTGAATTTGCAGGGCACTGTCAAAAAAGGAAGATGAAGTACCAGAGACTGGCAACAGCTGGAAGCTGTTACCACCCCTAAACCTGAAGGAGCAAGAGCAAGGAGAAACTCTCAGAGACCAAGACAGTCACAGAGGGGGCCACCCAACAGGAGCTATGGCCTTTGGAAGCGGAAGGCAGCCACTGCTGACCAACGGGCCAGCAGGGCAGGAGCTGGGGAGACAAACACCCTGACTTGGCTCTCCTCTCTCCCCTCAATCTTCTGCCCACTGTCTCTGTAGATGCCAATGGGATCCAAAGGCAAGAAGGTCCACAATACAGTCTATGTGGTCAGCCTCCAGAGACCAGAGCAGGGCATGACTGGAGGGGCAAACGGAGACCAGGCAGCAGACTTACAAGGAGTTCATTCTCCTTATTTGGTAAGCTCTTTATACCACCTGTGTTGCAGAAGTGTGATGTTATCAAATATTATATAAACCAACGAACCTAAGCACAAAAAAAACAGAGTTCTTAATCCTATGAAAACTAAATCAAATGCTTTGAAAAGACGGAATGACAACAACAAATGAAACAAACGATTGTGCCGATGATGTGGCAGGTCCTGTTCTAAGCACTTCATACATATTGTGTTCATTCCCTATTGCTGCTGTAACAAATGATTACAAATTAGTGGCTTAAAACAGATTTATTCTCTTACTGTTGGATAACTCCAAAATGGTCTTAATGGACTAAAATCCAGGTGTCAGCAGGGCCGCATTCCTTCTGGAGGCCCTAGGGGAGAATCCGTTCCTTGCTTTGTCCAGCTTCTGGAGGATGCCCACACTCTTTGGCTTATATCCCCCTTCCGGAAGTCATATCACTCCAACCTCTGCTTCAATCAGCCCATCTCCCTCTCTGATTCTGACTCTCCTGCTCTCTTCTTTCCCTGATAAGGATCCTCCTGAAAGATTCCTTATGATCTCCCATCTCAAAATACTAACTTAATTACATCTGCAAAATCTTGTTAGGTAACATACTCCCAAGTTCAGGAATTAAGACATGTATTTCCTACAAACAAGGACATTCTCCCATATAACGGCAATATAACCATCAAAATCAGAAAATTCACATGGTACATTACCAACCCCATTCAAATTTTGACAGTTATTCCAATAACGTCCTTTATAGTAGAAGAATCCAGTTATAAACCATACATTGCAATTAACTGCCATGTCTTTTCAGTCATCTTTAATCTGGAATAAGTCCATGACCTTTACTTGGCTTTCATGACGGTCACAATATTGAAGATTACAGGCCAGTTGTTTTGTAGAATGTTCCTCATTATGCATTTATGCAATGTTTCTTCATTCTTTTATTCAGGAGTATCCAAGTGATGAAGTGATGCTGTGTTCCTTTTAATGCATTTGATCCGATAATGCAGTTTTTATTTGTCCCACTACTGATGTCATTCACTTGAATCACTTGACTGAGGTGGAACCTGAAAGATTTTTACACTGTGAAGCTGCTCTTTTTTTCCTTTGTAGTTCATAAGTATTTTGTAAGGAGGTATTTTGAAACTAGGTAAACACCCTGTCATTCATCCGACACTCAATCCATTCATTCTTTATCTCCATAAGGACTCATAGTTTTATTCATGGGTTATAATCTATTGATATAACTACTTTAATGCCACAATTCTGCCAGTAGCATCTACCTCAAACTGGCTTGATATACTTCCATCATTCTTTAAGTACCTCCTTGCTTCTGAAGCACAAGATGTTTGGGATCCTCTTTTACTTTCCCTGGCCCAACCCTGGAATCAGCCATTTCTCCAAGGAGTCCTAGAGTCCTTTCAGTGGAGCATGGGATTGGAAACCAAGATCTGGGCACTAGGTAGCATGCTCATCACTTCTGGATTCCTATAGTGCACAGAACTAGGGAATATGTGTTACATGCATATTTCTATATCTAATATATGGAAAACCACCAGCCACACTGACATCTCCAAATCCAAACCAACCCCCACAAGTTCTTTCTAGTTTTCTACCTCTCCATACTGGGTCAAAGGATGAAGCATTACTTTGCCTACATGTATTAACTCACTTAATCTTTACAACAATCATATGGTTTAGAAAATAACATTGCCAGCCTGATCATCCACAAACACTGTATCGTGTATTTCAAACGGCTCAAGAAAAAAGGTCTATATACTCCGCTTGCAACTTTTCTGTAAGTCTGTAATTGTTTCAAAACTTTTAAAAGTTTATGCTAAAAATATTCTCTGTTGGATCAACAGACTATGAGATACAATAGTGTTCATAGTATTCCCAGTAATCTGAATGTGATAAAAGCATTCATATATTTTCCAAACTGGGGGAGGAGAGGAGAGAATGAGAGAAAGGAAGGGACGGGATTTGAATCTAAGAAGTGTGGGCGGTGGGAAATGTGACCCACATGGCCTTATCTTTAACAACCTAGGCTGGTGGGTCGGAGCTGCAATCCTCAGTGTGACACTTCATTCATCATTTACATATGGCCATTTGACAACCATCCAGACCTGAGGTCCACTCAAGAGCTGGAGGATCCTGATTAGCTAATCAGCCATCTTGGCTGGGACACAGCCCATCAATGTGACAGAACATATTAGCTTAAAACTAACCACTAGATGAATTTCTTCAGGCTTATCCAGCCCCCTCAGTGTGAGAAAAACAGAAACATGTGACAACTCACCGGGATCTCTCTCTGGTCCAACTCTCTTTACAGACAGACAAACCCAAACACAGAGTGGTTAAGGAATTTGACAAGGTCTTACAGCTATGGAGTGGCAAGACTCAAAAAACCCTCAGCTTCCCATCCACATCATCAATGGCCTGCCAGAATTGCCTTGTGTGCTCACTGACTTTGTCATATGTAGCAACAGACTTCACCAAGGGACAATGGAAGCCCTCTTGATTCTAGGGGATTAGGGCTGGGAGTTGTTTGGTTAGTTACTAAAGTCCATCAAAATGGGAAAGCCCTAAAAACTGTTATGTAAATACCTAAAACATTTTATTTGATAGTTTTTCTTTGCAACTTGTTCTCCTGATTAGAGTTCCACAGTGTTTTTCTTGTATAAGTCAGAATCCATCATCTCTGATCTCCACTTTGTGTTTCTTTAAAGAGGAGTTACAACATAAAGACATTTGTCGAATAATATGAGTGCAGAAGCATCCTAGATATTAATCATTTTTCCTCTTTTTTTAAAATTGTCTCATCCAGGGGCACCTGGGTGACTCTGTCAGTTAAATGTCTGCCTTCAGCTCAGGTCATGATCCCGTGGTCCTGGGATCGAGCCCCACATTGGGCTCCCTGCTCGGCGGGGAGCCTGCTTCTCCCTCTCCCTATGCTCCTCCTCCCTGCTCGTGGTCTGTCTGTCTCTCTCTCTCTCTCTCTCTCTCAGATAAATGAATAAAATCTTAAAAAAATAAATAAAATAAAATAAAATAAAATAAAATAAAATTGCCTCGTCCATATATAATTCAGTAGCAATTTTAATAGATGTGTGACTTGGGCAAGTTCCTGTTATAACCTCTTTGTGTTTCAGTTGCCCTTCCTGCAAAGGGAGACAATCCAGGCTCATCTTGCATTTGCTCAACCCCAACCCTGGAATTAACCATTTCTCCAAGGAATCCTGTCTCCTTTCAGTGAAGAATGGTATTAGAAACCACGATCTGAGCACTAGGTGTACTCATCACTATTGGATTCCTGCTGTTCCCAGGTCCTCACAGGAGACAGCTGAGGAGTGTATATTATATACATATATATATTTCTATATCTCTTTGCATATATTGAAAACCATGAGTCACACTGGTATCTCCAATTCCAAACCAAGACCACAAAGTTTGTTCTAGTTTTCTGTCTTTCCGTATTTGTAACTCCCTTCTCCAACCGTGAATAAGTTGGCTCTCATTATCCTTACTATATTTACTTATCTGGCCAACACTCCTGTATGTAACCAACCAGTATTATTTCCACTACCTTCCTCGCCCCATGTGGACTCTGTCACCTCATGCTTAGTCACCTTTCTGCCACAGACAACTTCCACCCCTAAGTGGGCTCTGACACCCCCCACTGGGCCAATTCCCTGCATGGACACACTTGTTACCTTGCTCACATTCTGATATCCTATGTCAAGCTACTCTTCTTCAGCCTTGGTCCACTCAGGCCCTGCCACCAACTCTGGGCTACTGTGGCTTCCCTCCTTCTTTTGGAGTAGATGCCAACTTTGCTTTGTATCACCAATGAGTTTAGGATTGAACTGTTCAGAAATAAAAGGGGAGGAGGCAGGGGAAGAGCCCCTCCTTTGTTTTTAATGCCTTTTCTGACACAGTAGAGACTGTCAGTAGGGTCAAGAAACAGAAGGCACTGTTGGCATTAAACAAGGTGGTTTGGAGCTTCACATCTTGACCTGTAGTATGTAGGGGAGATCACTTCCAGATTTATTTATCCCCCAAATTGTGTTGTCACCAAAGGACACTGATAACTTCTTCAATGAGAAGTCTCTCAGCATTCAAATATTCAATTGCTATTATTGTCAAGATCACTTATTGGTAGATATTGTTTCCTTTTTCACTTCATTCCTTCATTAGCAGAGAGGCCTTACCTGCCCCATGTTATGGTGCTTAGCTCTTTATGCATTTCTGATACACTCTCGAAGGCCTGGTACACAGGGATTTGATGCAATTATTAGTGTTGCCTTAGAAGCCAGATAGACTTGTGTTCAAATCACTCTATCAATAATTTGAATTTTATAAGAATTAAAGATAAATATATAGATCTTTAAAATAAGGTGTGTGTATGGACACACACACACACACACACACTCACATCTGCCACATGGTAAAGCATTTTCTAAGGCTTTATACTCCTACCAGGCTTACCTTCTTGACAAAGTCTCAAATCTGTGCCTGTGTTCGTCTGTCCCTTTGTTCACTGGTCTTCCTTTGAGACCTGAGACCATGACAAGAATTTCAGGCATGTAAAAACTGATCAATAACAACAGTTCTGAAAAACCAGAAGATTGAACTAACTTCTCAGTGAACTTGAAATTAATGCATCACCTGTTATTCTCAGAAGTTTTGGATCCATTGGTATCCCCAATGGTATCATCCCAGTGGCATTCTCATTAGAACTAATATGCTATTTAAGAAGAGGGAAGGGAGAAGCTGCACTCCGTAAATCTGCTTCTTTCTGTGCTCAGTTTGCCAAGAGTCCATCCTGCCACCTACTCATGTGAAAGTCCTTCCAGGTCCTGGCTTACATAACTCATTCTCTCTCAACCACTCATCGTTGGGTTGTGAGGATGCCCTGTCCCCTCCATGTTTCAGAGGCCATTCTGAGGGAACGAGAATGGGGAAACCTGCAAAAATATACTCGTCCAGTCTGCCCCAGTGAGCTGGAAAAAAAATCTCAATTTGTTGCCATGTAAAAATCTTCTGTGGTATCCTGCACGATGCTCTTGTCTTTGAACCCCTTCTGTGGAAACTGCTTTTACTTCAGTTATTTTATTGTAATTTTATTGTGCAAAATCCTCCCTCTGATTTCACTGGAGTCTTGTGCAGAGTGAAGTATAGCCTCTCCGTCCTGTGATGAGATGGAAATCGTTATCCTTGCCCCCATGACACCAGAGGAAAATGGGAAACTGCACTTGTGTAATCATCATTGTACACATCGTATAAGAGAGGTACAGAATCGCTTCCTTTTTAGAGGGTTTAATTAAAATCATTACTTAAAAATAAGCCTTGTGACAACATCATGATTGGGCTATTTTCAAACTGTAGAACACCTATGAGAATTCCGGGTTCCATGAGAAAAGTGTCTCTTCGTAGTTCATGCATGTATGTTTGCAGGCCTCCAAGATGCAAAGAACTCTGTTAATCTTCTGATATTGGCTGCGCTGATTATTTTATGGTTGTCTAAAAATGAGAGGCATATCGAAATAATTTAATATTTTGTAATATTTTAGGGGGTCATTATAAGACATCCTCTTTTACTCAAAAGGATTAAATAACCAAGTCTATGTTTTTTATTACTGATTTCTACGATTAAAGCAAGTACATATAAGCTGAGCTGATTGCAATATAAAGAATTATTCTCTTGGGTCCTACTTGTATTCATTCTCTTTCTACATTTTAAAAACCCATTCATCAGTTACTCTGCAGTAGTACCAGGAGTTAGCATGCGCATATTATCTTCTCGTATTCCATCACGGTCTTCCAAGATCACGCGTATGCGTGTGGGGATGTACACACCCGCCCACACTCACAAACACATACACACACATGCAGGCACTTATAATGGCATCCAAACATATTCACCCATAATTACATTCTAGGCGCTTTATCGAACAGATAATTTTTCATTCATTTGTGGAAGCTGAAAAGAATCCATGCTACTGTTTGGAGTCTTAAAGCAAACTGTAATCTTATAAACAGTGAGGTGAACCTCAGAGGCAGTAGTCTTTTGATATGCAGTATAAGTGAAATGCTGCATAATATAAAATGATGGCGCTATTAATCCTACAGCACTGGTGGTGCCCAGCCCCCCCCCCTTTGCTATTGATACCAACCCCATTGTCTCTGGCTTTAAACTTCATCAGTATGCAAACGGAGTGTCACTATGATGGGTGGTAACTTGGTTGGATGCACTTTCTACATTTCTGGCAAATGAGTATAATTATTTTCAGAGCTGCGGGCAACTCATGCATGTTTTATCCTCCATCTGGACCAGCACGGTACACAATAGTGATAAAAGATGATTTTCCCCCTTGGATGTTCACAGGCCATCATCGACACAGTCCTGATGAAATGGCCATGTATCCCCTAGCAGCTCTATATCTGCCACAGCTTGACAACAAAATTATTTCCCCATAGTACTCAAACACTTCAAATATTCAAGCCCTCTGTGCATATATTTGTGTTTTGAAGCATTCAGCGTTAACATAATGTGGTAATTTATAAACTGACAAATTAACTATGCAGAAATCACAGAGAGGCCTTATGAGGTCTGCAAAGCAGCAGAAAAGAAAGCAGAAGCTTTTTGCGCTCTGTAATAATAATAATCCTATCAACTGTCGCAGATTGCCCGGCCTCCCATTGTTAGTACTGCGCGCTCTCGAGCTTGCTTACTGTAGGTGATATCACCCGAGCCGTCCTGCCTCAAGCCTCACCGACCAGGAGGCTCAGCTGGGGCTCGAGGTGCCCTCCTTCTCTGGGTCTGGGGCTCGTAGGGGAATGGGACACCAATAAAAAAAAAAAAAAAGGCAAGTTGCCTATATTGATCACTTGGAGCCAGAAATGGTTGCGTGGGATGGAATTTGGGGAGGGTGAGATTTGCCTTCAAGACAGGAAGGGAATTTAGGACTGGCAAAATCGATAACAGCAAAACTGAGATTATGCATGTGAGAGTACGATCGGCCTTCTTTGTTTCGTGCTTATAAAATCATTTTAATGATTAAAATCCATCATCTTGCTAGCCTGCTTAGCAAGCGCTGGCGATCCTCACAGACCTACTATTGATCCTCAGACAGACAGCTGAATGGAGGTAGCATTCATCAAAGGACGCAAAAGAGTGCATTTTCACTTTTATTGTATTAGCTTAATTCTCTTTCAGATAAATTAAAGACTAATTTTGCTAGACCAAGGGGAGAGTCTATGGATCTTCTGCTGCCCCCATCTGTTTAACATGTAGATTCTTAGAAGGCAGAATTCATTTTTCAGAGACAAGAAAGTATTTACAAATTCTTTGTAAAAACACAGAACATTCCTTCACGATATGCCAAATCAGCCTCTCCTCCTTCCTTCTCCACTACACCCAGCTCTGCACTCCACCTCCCCCAGTCAGTGCACGTGTGCGCGCACTCACACGCGCGCGCACGCACACACACACACACACTCACACACTCACACACACACACACACACACACACACACACTGTCCTTTAAATGGTATGTACCATGCTACGAGGCCTACCAAACATCAGACACTCTTTATCAGCAGTTGTGCCAGGGTCTCCATGGCAACAGTATAATAGATTTGCCCTTATTCAATCCCAGAGGCCACATTGAAGCGCGATGCAAAATTTGCTGGGGCCTGAATTCCTTTCAAGCCATGGCTCATGTGTCAGGAAACAAGTCAATGCACAGACAGCGCTGCACAGAAAGATGGAGAGGAACCTTTTCTCTCCACTGCTGTTTGCTCACAGTGACATTCAGAAACTCAGGCCCTTCTAGATCTCATTTCGGTCTTGTTTTCTAGTTATTAATTCACTTCTTGGGGTGGAGAGGAGAGTGGGGGAGGGGAGCGCCAGGCTTTGCAATAATAAACTGCCAATGAAAGTGCAAAGCAAGCTGCATAAAAACGAAGCGGGCGTCTCAGCCTCCAAGGTTATGTAGGATTCAATATGGCTGAAGCCCACCGCGGCAGCGGACACAGTTCTGGGGTGGGAGGCACCCTGGGGCCGAGCGGGGCTGAGCAGCCCACACCACCTCCTTGACCCACACCGGAGTGGTATTTTGTGATACCCAAGTGACCTTCCCCGGGGAAGCAGAGGCAGAAGAATGGACAGATGCCCTTGTCCTAAAGCCAATCTCGCCAGGCAGGAAGAATTCCCGGGAGCTCGCACCTGAAGTACACTGTGGCTAAAACAAGCACAGCTTAAAAGTTAAACAATCATTTGTTTCAGGTTTATTTTAATCATTAGCTTTGGGACTTACAAGATGATTACTTTGTGGGTTAATTATTTTCTGTGCTTGGCTTTCCAAACCTAATTGCTCAACTTCATTATTGTACATAGCGATCCATAGCTGGTTCCTAAAATTACCTGTCCAAATATTTTCCCTTTTGATTATCATGGAGAATTTGCTATTTTTCTCCCTGACTTGGAACTTTGCAGAAATGACTTCGTTGGCAGACACTTGTGTGATTTTGAACTAGAGACATCATGGCCATGAGAAAAGACTCAATCGCTGATAGGATTCCAAAGAAGGTTCTTAAGGGGCTTTGCCCAGATGAAGCCTGATTAACTTCAGGGCAGTGGTTCTCACACTTTAATGTGCATAAAAAGCACCTGGAGTTTTGTTAAAACAATTTCTTGAACGCTGTTGCCAGAGACTGTGACTTGGGAGTCTCAGGGGTAGGGCCCAGGAGTCAGCATTCCCAGCAAAGTCACAGATGATGCCAGCACTGCTGGTCCAAGGGCCGAGTGAGTCTCAGAAACCACAGCTTTCAGCCATTCTCCAGCAGGAAAAGTTCCTCAACCTCAGACTTAAAGTTTATTTTGACTGTTTACGGTAACTTTGACTTCGATACTCTTCTAGAAGGGCATTATTTGTCATCCTAGCAGAATTACCCCCTTCTCCAGAGGATCAGACCCGCACTTTCACCCAGCACCTGGGGACACAGCGAGGACAGAAACCACGGGTAAGAAAAAGTCGTCAGGAGATCGGGATATATCCTCAGGCCTAACACTATGCCTGCCACACATCAGGGCTTGATCGGTATTTTTTTTTTTAAATGAATACATGAGTGAGTAAATATGATTGAATTGCAAGGCTTCCGTATTTCAGGAAAGAGATCTTAAGTCAAGGATCTGGTGTTCTGTGTTCTATTTAAATTGAAATCAAGTCAAATGTCATAGATCTGTTTTTAAAAGTGGCATATGAATTTTTGTGGGGGAGATTAAATTGTACTTTAAAATCTTCTAGGAGGCTGGAGCCATAGGATGAATCACTGTAGAAAGCAAAGTCCTTTTATAATTAAAAACATTACTCTCTAATTTATCTAGTTTTATAAGTTTGGGTTTTCTTCAAGTGGGAAACACTGCATTTTCACTTCAAGACTCACCAGCTTTGCTTCTTACTGCACAAAAGGGTGTATTTCTGCCTGATGTTTCAAACTTGGAATCATCATTTATTTCTTTTCATTTCCCGTTCCTGCTGATTTGACCCTAAAATCTTGAGTCATTTTAACAAATAGACTTTTGTCTATTTGACCCTAAAATCTTGAGTCATTTTAACAAATAGTTCTGTTTCAACAGCAACAGAAGGTGGAGTCAATAATATATAACACTGACTTAAGATGATTCTGCTCCCTTTGACCAGAGTTTGGTTACCTGTGCTAAGTGAGTTATGCGCTAGAAAATGACACCTGGGCAGGCGGAGGAGGGGAGGTAAGCTGAATTACAGCACGTGCTTTGTGAATTACCTCATCTACGGCGAATTCATGATAAGACAAGGGCAGTGTTTTTCACCATACTTTACAGTATGTCTTCAGTTCTGAGTTTTTTCTTCCCAGAACAAGGCCAAGGGCACCGAAGTGAGCAGCCTCTTAGGCAGGGAGCCTAGCCGGCCCTTTCTGCCCTTCCAAGCAAGCGAGGTGCAGTGGGGACAAAAAGCAGATTTCTCTCTCCCACCCTGCCCCTTGCTTCAGTCCTTGAATAGTATCATCCCTCATGGGCTGGTGACAAATAAAATTCTCTTAAAATAAAGCCAAATATACAGAACTGTAGAATTGTTATAAACTAGATCTTTGAGAGGGTGGATCTCGATGCTTCCTTTTGCCAGAGAAGGGAGATCCCAAGATCATGCAGGTAGTTAGTGGCAGAGATGGGGCGTGAGCCCAGTGCCTACACTCTGATAGAAGTCCCAGGACACCTACCCCATGCTGTTCCAGCCTGTTTGCCCTCCCTGGAAGGGAGCCCATCACACTGCGTGAGTAGATGTCCCCTCCCACACTCCCCACCTGCTGCAGGCTACCTAGAAGGGAGCATGAATGCAGAGTGCTATCAACAACTTCCAATTCAACAAATATTTATTGAGCACCTGCTGTGTGCCTCGTGGCACACTGCACTGTGACAACACCAGAATGAAAGGACACAGCATTTTATTACAAGGTGGTTACAACCAGGTAAATCTAT